ATACCATGCCCTCCTGCCCCTGGAAACCTCATATATTTTGTAAAATGTAAAGAGAAAAGGAAGAGAAAGTAAGAAAGAAGCCTGGAGCCCAGAGCTCTCGGCAGGCAGCCTTTGGAATCAGGCGGTGTTATTAAGAAAACACAGATCCAGCCTGTCCTTGATTAACTGACTCAGAGTTCAGCGAAGAAAGGCAACATATTAGATTAACGCTAGTAAAAACGAGACGCTTCTCTGACCTGATGCTAAACACATTTGGTTTTTCTCTGACGCTGGCAAGGACTCTGCTTGATGCAGTGATGCAGGACTTAAGCTGTTAAGGGTTGGGAGCCCATCACGGGTGGTGCTGCTCCCAGGCTGAGCTGGGGTTGGGCAAGAAGTCTGGCTTCCTGGGTGGAGCTGGCACCTACAGTGTGCCAGTCACCGTGCTAAGTCCTTTAACCTCCCCCAGGCTTGCGAGAGCCTGTGCTCTGAGCAGCCAGATGAGGCTTCAAACCTCAGTTCTGCAGCTTGCTGGCTGTGCATCTTTGTGCGGGTCACTTCACCTCTCTGAGCCTCAATTTCCTTTGGGGGATAAAAAGTACTTAACATCAGATGGCTGTTGTGATGATTATATAAGATAAATTGATCATGTGCTCTCTAAGTGTCAGGCACTATTCTAAGCACTTTGTATCTATTACGTCACTTAATCTTCATAGCAACCCAGTGAAGTAGACACTGTTGTTAACGCCACCTTTCAGGGAGGAAACTGAGGCACAGAGAGGTTGGGTGACCTGTGCAAGGTTATCCTGCTGGAAGAAGGGTAAACCAGGATTTGAACCCAGGTGGTTTGAGTCTTACACCTGACCCTTAACCACTACATCGCCTCACTTCTCAATGCATGAAAAGTACTCAGGACAGAGTCTGGCGCACAGAAAGCACTTAATACGTGCCAGCTACTGTGAATAATCTTGTAATTCTGCAGGAGAAAACAGAGGTGCATGGAGGTGATGTGACTTGCCTTAGGTGATCCAGCTATTGGGAGCAGAGCCTGGAACCAAATCCAGTTTGATTTCTGTCTGTGCTGTTTCTGTTTCCCCTAGATTACTGAGGGTGTGGGCTGGGGGTGAAGGACATGGGGCGATGTAGTCAGCATTTTTGGAAGGGACAGCAGGGCACCCCTTGTCTGTCTCCTCCATCTGAAGATGCAGTCTCTGCAAGTTATGGAGGGTCTGTTCTGTCTCAGAGACACATCATACTCAGCCTCACATCGGGTAGGATGCAGTAAACTCTTCATACATGAAGAAACAGAGGCTCAGAGAGGTTAAATAACTTGCCCCATGTCACACAGCTGCTAAGAGGCAGCGCAGACTCTGACCCAATTCTGTTTGAATCCAAAGCTTTTATTCTTAATCATTGAGCCCCAACTTCATTCAATCATTTATTCATTCATTCATTTCATATTTATTGCACGCCTGTGCTGGGAGGTAGAGACATGAGAATGATTCAAGCACAACTTTTTTTCCCCTACTCTGAGGAATATTCACAGCCCCCTGGGGAAATACAGGCAAGTAAGTGAAAAGTTGAATTCTATTTTCAAAAAACTAACTTTTTTTCTTGATTATCAAAGTCACACATGCTCATTGCAGAAAAATTAGAATACATAGGGGGAAAAGAGCTGAAAATAGAAAGAGCTCAGAGTCCCACCACGCAACAGGTGTCCCAGTCAACACTGCTGCTCGCCACCTCACCTTCACCTTCCTGTCTCTTTCCTTTATGGGTGTATTTCTCTGTATATGACATCATATCTGGTTTTTAACTCACTGTAGCACTTTTTCATTTTGTTGAAAATTCTTCCATAATGGTCCTTAACTATTTCTCATTTGAAAAAAATAATGGACAGCACTTGGGAAATTGTTTAGGAAAGTGTTATGGTGAGGGTAAGCCCCCCTCCAAGGGGAGGGGTTCTGTTTGGTCATGAGGGTGTATCACGGCTGCCTTCCTGGTGGAGGAGATAGTTGCGCTGAGTCTGGAGGATCCATGAGCCTTGACCAAAATGAAAGATGCATCCTATCTACCCTAGGGAAGCGTAGATATGCGCGGGAAATTGCGTTCCCTGCACAAGGAAACTGAGACAGCACTGGAGTGATCTTCTTGAAAGACAACTTTCCAAGATGGTGGGGAATCTCCAGCACGAAAATTACGTGTCTTGAGTCTGGTCTCTGCATCAGGCCCTGTGCTAGGCTCAACGCGGAGATTAATCTTATTCACAGTCAATCTTAAAAATGCCCCTGCATTGGCATCTTAGGGCTGCTGCAGCAAAGTACCATGGACTGGGTGCCCTGAAACAACAGGAATGTATTACCCCTCAGCTCTGGAGATCAGAAGTCCAAAATCAAGATGTGCTCTTAAAGGCTCTAAGAGAGAATCTATTCTGTGCCTTTGTCCCAGCTTCTGGCATCGCCAGCAGCCCTTGGCATTTCCCGCAAGTACATAACTCCAGCAATCCCTCTGTTGTCACATAGACTTCTCCTTGTGTCTTCAGAAAGCCACCTTCTAACACGGACACCAGTCAGCCTGGACTTAGTGGATTTAGTCTAGACCTTCACATTGAGGCCTGCCCACTCTAGTATTACCTTGTAACTAATTACATTGGCAATGACCCTATTTCTAAATAAAGTCACCATTCCAGGGTACTGGGCTTAAGGCTGCAACCTATCTCTTTTGGCGAGGAGGCGCAATTCAACCCATAACTTTTTTTTATTTTTAATTCCCACTTTTCAGGCAGGAGCGTAAGATTGCAAGGCTACTGCCGTTTGGGGATTAGAACCCAGATCTAGTGGATTCCAAAACTGTTCCTCTAGTGCGCCAGGATGCCTCCTGTCTCTGAACCTACTTGTAAACAGCAAATAAGAGAAATACAAATTAGTATATGTTTAGCTATTCTTTTAACCAATTAGCTTTTAGAGAGCAAAATTTCTTGAAAAGATGAATTGAAGCAAAAGGAAAGGGGAGAAAAACGCAGTCAGGAGGGCTCTTTTCCAGTGCTCTCCCGGGCTCAGCCCTCCCTGGTTTCTGTGCTTGAGATAAATAGCCAGGCTGGGACGAGACCGTGCCACTTCAGCAGCATTTGAATGGCTGCAGCGATGAGCTGATGGATTATGTGAACTTGGCCATTAATCCACCCTCAAGTGGCCTGTGATTTTTGTCCCTGTTTTACATGCCTGACCTCCCCCTCATCTCAGAGATTCTGCCACCACAGCAGAACTTGAAGAGGGGGGGCCTTGGAAAACGGCTGAAGTGGGTTGGACAGTGACCACACTGATGGGCTCGGTGCTAGCGGGCTGATGGAGCTCCAGGGACAGGGACGACGGTGTGTTGGCCACAGCCTGCACCGAAAGGTCAATGTGGAAAGAGTCCCCAGCCTTTGCCCAGGACAAGGAGGAAACAGACTCAGTATCCATTTTGTGACCCAAAGACCTCAGCCTGCCCATCGGGTCGCAGCGTGTAACACACTCATGCTTTTCCAGAGCGTTAATGAAGGGACCATGCATCTTTTTTTCCCCCCTCCTGTTGACTGATGAGGAAACGGAGGGGCATCAGTTCACCCAGCCAGTCTTTGAGCACCCGTTGTGTGGGACATCCCAGCCTGAAGCCTGGCCGGGTGGCGGGTTAAGGAAGGGGTGGTCAGCATTGAAAAGCCCAGGCTTGGGAGCAGATGGACCCATGGTCAAATCTCAGCTCTTTTCCCAAAAGACATTTCCTTTCCCAAAAGACCTTTCCTCTCCCATCATCCTTCCAGGAAGGTATCTCTGGCGAAGATGGAGAAACCCTTCTCCCAAGTGGAGACTGAGCATGGTACATGGGAAGGGGCAGCCTGGACACGGATTTGGTCTAGACCCTCACAGCTGGGTGGACTCGAGCAACTTATCTTGACAGTCAGCATGTTAGTCCATGCTCCTTTGGTGTCAAGGGACAAAAACCCTTCCTGAATCAGATTAAGCTAAAGAAGAATATGTATTGCGTCTTGTCCGCAAATTACAGAAGGGGCTAGATTTTCAAATGAATGATTTGTGCCCTTCTCTTTCTAACTCTCATCTCTGCTTGCCTCTGCCTCAGTTGGTTCGTCCCCTGCACAGACTGACTCTGGTGCCACGGATCGTGGCTGTTGGCAGCTCTGGGTTTAGACACTGCCAGTGTCGTAACCCAAGGGAAAACAGGTTTCTTTCTCCTGGCTTTAATCTGTAAGAATCCAAAGACTGGGTCATGTGCCCTTCCCTGGAGCAATCAGTGACTGGCTGGCTGGTGGCAGGTACAATACGATTGGCCCTTCCAAGGCCAGTGTCTCTCCATGGTCAAGGCAGGTAAGGTCTGTCAATGGAAAAATAGGAAGAGGGGGTGCTTTGAGGGACAAACAGTGCCATTACAGTTCACCCCTTCCCCCCCATCCGGTGGACATGTGTGTGTACATACACTCTCACTGGTCTTAATTTGATTATAAAAATCTCATCTAACACAATCCACTCTCCCACATATAGGCGAACGCACCTACCCTCACCCTACGGCTAGACCGCCCAAGGTCATAGTACATCCAACCCAAGCCCAGACTTTCAGGGGCATGAAACTTTCTCCCCATCAGGACCCAGTATGGCTCCTTGTGATGCTGAAGTCTGTGGGCCAAGTGGAAGTGAAGCCTCCCCAAATGTAAAACAGTTGGAGGAGAGAGAGACCCAGGCTTAAGTTTTAAGTGAGACACTTCTATGCTACAGGGACGTAGGTGGATGACATGGCTTCAAATGCCACTTAGAAACGAGTAACATGAAGAAACAGAGTGGCTACTGGTCAGAACATAGACCGTGTGCCATAACTAAGATTCACTTCTAAGGCAGACAGATACAATTGTCAATGGGATCAGTCTCCTCATCTATAAAATGGGTTAATAAGAAGGGGGTGAGGACTGAATGTTTTTAGATGAGGCATGGCACATAGTAAAGTAGACAGCTCATAGTAGGTGCTCAATACATACTTTCCTCCTCTCTCTCTCTGTCTCTGTCTCTTCTCTCTCTCACACACACACACACAGCTTTTGATCTGGTGACAATGACCTCATGCTGCCAAAATAAACAAGCTTGCCCTTTTGTCTCTGCCTCCCTCCCTCTCTCTTCTTTTTTTTTCCCCCTCCTGCCGTCCTTGGACACTCTGTCCTCTAGTGTGCTATTGAGCTAAAGCTGGTGTGAATCCTTCGCCAACACGGCCCATGGAAGTCCTCTCTCCCAGCCCAGGTGTCAGCAGCATCCATGCCCCCGGGCCGTGGTTGCATCTGCAACAGGAGGGACATTCATTGTTGAACAAGCACAGTGACAAGATGTAGGCTTTTCCAGAGCTGTCACCGTGTGATGTGCCCGCTCCAGGGAGGCAATGTTTCTTTTAGAGATGGACTGTTCCTAGTCGACCAGATCACCTCTGTCTTAAGAAAGAAATTCAAGGTGATCGGGGTCGGGACACATCTCCAGTGAGGCTGACAAACTGCACTTCCCAGGGCGGCGCTGAGGGACACAACTGCGCAGTAATGAGCCTGCATCTCTGCTAGACCCCGCACTCCACCACGAGCGAGGGGGGCAAGAAGCCCGCAGTTTGAATAGACAGCAGCCTAGCCAGAGCGAGACCGAGTGGCCCGTGGTGTTTTCCCCCATCAGTCCCTATGAAGGCCATTTGCTTCTGAGGACTGGCTGGGTCCTCCCCAGTTACTTCCAAGAGCAAGAATGGAAAGAGCACTGGTATGGGGTCCCATAGACCTAGAATTAAATCTTTGTTCTGCCATCAATTAGTTTCGGGTCTCAGGTAGGTCACTTCAGCTGGACCTCTGTTCCATCATGGAAGATACGAGGGTGAGCATGCCATGGCTTCTCACTTCATGCGGCTCATTGCAAAGATCCCCAGATGCAAAGAAGCGAGCTGTAGTTCAGATGTGGGCCCTGCAGCCACATTGCCTGGCTCCAGTCCTAGCTCAGATATAAGCTGTGTTTACTTGGGCAGGTGACTTAGCCTCTCTGGGCTTCAGTTTCTTCTATATTGAATGGGAATTTGTTTCGTTTTGTTTGGTTTTTGTAGGGAGGGGGTGGTAATTAGGTTTATTTATGTTTAGAGACAGTACTGGGCATTGAACTCAGGACCTTGTGCATGCTAAGCATGCGCTCTACCACTTGAGCTACACCATCCCCCCGCCTGAATGGGAATATTAATACTTAACTCATTCTAACGTAAGGGTCATTCTCAGGATTTACTGAGACAATACATGTAAAGCACTTAGCAAAGTGCATGTCCAAATTAATAATATTAATTGTAAGAACATATGGGAAAAGACTTTATAAGCTGTAAGTTATCATTTCTGTGCACTATTTACCATGACGTTCGAGGATCACGTTTACTACTCTAAGAAAACTAAGTGAGTGGTTTATAATTGGATGGTTGTTTTACATAATTTAAAATTTTCAGGGGTTGGGAGAGTATAGCTCAGTGGTAGGGCGTGTGCTTAGCATGCACAAGGTCCTGGGTCCTGGGTTCAATTCCCAGTACCTCCATTAAAAAATAAATATATAATAAATGAATAAATAAATTATCTAATTCCCTCCCCCCAAAAAAAAGTTTCCTCTTGGATGAAAGCATTCACCTTGGCCCACAAAGTGGGTAAACTGTAAAGTACTTAGACAGCACTGTAAATGGCTGGTTTCTTATTCCACTCACCTTAACTTTCTGCCAATTGTATGCAAGACACTATGGCAGAGATGTTTATACAAATAAGTCCATTTTAACCTCATTGGGCTGAGACTGTCATCCCCACTAGGAAGAAAATTGGGCCTCAGAGAGGTTAATGGCCTAAATGCACTCAGTCAGCACTAGAATGTAACCAACATGAGATGAAGACCAAGACCTTGAGATGTTCAAGTCCAGTGCTCCTTCCAGGGAAAAAGAACATCTTAAGGCATCTTGTAGAAATGATAACAGGCTGTCAATTATCAAGCTCTTCAGAGCTGTCTTAATACGGGTCTAATCTGCTTGATGCTAAGGGAATGATGTCGGCTTGAGTTCCTGGGCGCCCAGGTGTCACCAGTAGAGCCCAGAGGCGTGACCGTAATCCTGGCCCTGGAAGGATCCCTTCCTCCTCTCTGTTCACCTCCAGGGCCCACGGCCTGACCCGTCAGACTCCACTGCCCTTATAGGTCAAGTTCTGCCAATGCACGAGTTTCAGTCTTTTTTCTTTCTGCTTTATTGCTCCGAGGATTGAAGAGGTACCAAAGGGTCAAACAAAGCCACATAGCCTGAGGCACACTGGTTACTCCTGAAACCCTTTCCGCTTTGTCCCACACCGCCCCCATCTGACTTTTCTCATCTCCCCAAAGCTAAGTACATCGGCTGCTACCTGGACGACACCCAGAGCCGGGCCCTGCGAGGCGTGTCCTTTTTCGACTACAAAAAGATGACTGTCTTCCGTTGCCAAGACAACTGCGTGGAACGGTAGGGCCCCGACGTCCCAGGCTCCGTGCATTCAGACCCCCTCCTTCTCAGGTCCCTTCCTGCGGTGGTCTTTCCTTTTCCATGGGACGGCATGATGGAGGATGAACAAGTGACTGCAAGGGAGGGGTGATGCCAGAGAGAGTGTGTGTGTGCGCGTGCACGTGTACACACGTACATGCGTGCAAGCGAGCAGGGAGTTGGTCTGGGGGTTTGTTGTGCAGTTGTGTGACGCTGTGCCTGGAAGTGCGTTTGCAGTGTATATAGTGCAGGGTCAGCTGGATGTGTCTGGTGGCCTTGATGCCAATACGTAATTATCTTTAAATAATAATGGCTGTGAGTCCCGGAGTCTGTGGACATGTTTGCAAGGGTCCAGAACTGTGGGAAAAGCACAAGGGGATGTTAACGTGATGCAAGTGTGAGGCTTATGGGATGTCTGTGGGAAGGGTGAGGGGGGGGACCCTGGGTATCAGGGACACTTAATGACTTCCCAGCCAAGAAATGATTTGTTTCTCTCCCAGAGAAAAACACTCACCTGTCCAGACAGTGTTTTCCAATCGAGGAAGAAAGCGATGTTCTTGATTAGGGGAGGGAGCTGACTTTCCAAGAGTGGGCAAGGCTCCAGAGGACTGGCGAGTGGGGACGGGACCGGCAATCCGGGCCTGGGAACCAGCATTTCTGCCCTAGAGGCACCATGGAGTGAGCTGACCATCTCTTCCCATGTGCCCTGGGTCCCTTGACCTGCGGTGGCTTGTAAGAGGCCCCTGACATGCTCACCTTCAGAACAGCCAGCTGCCTCTGGAGGTCACAAGCTCTGAAGGACCTCGGATGCATGGCTGGAAGGAAACTGGGCAAGTCCCTCTGTCCCTGGTTAGGAAACAGGATGTGTCTCCTTTATCATCAGCTTCTGGAATAGTCCACCATTGACATCCTGAGCCCAAGACTGTCTCCGGCTTGGGAAAGACTCCAAGCTCTTGGTGATATTGATTCATTCATTTATTTATTGAATGATGGAGAGACAGAATTTCAGAGGCCATGCCCTCCTACGGGTCCTTGGGAGTTGGAGAGTTGATATTTGCAAAGCAAACGTTTGGGAGCCGTGCCCGGCACAGAGCAGGTCTAGGTTGTTGCTGTTCTGTGGCCCAAGCAGGTACATGCGTCAGTCTCCCCCGCGAGCTGGGGAGCCCCTTGGGGGCAGGGCTGTGGCCGACTCATCTCAGCATCAATCTGGAAGCCAAAAATATTTGCCAAACTGAATCCCACAAGTTGATCTGACTCATCTTCTGAAGCTCACCTTGGCTGTTTCTTCCTCTCAGAAGGCCCTCCTGACACCCCAGGCCGGCTGGGGGCCTCCTCTGCAATTCCACAATCTGCGACTGATCCCATCTCCACCCTCGTCTCACTATGCCGGCCTTTTCTGGTTACCCTGTCTCTCCATCTAGGCGGTGAGCCCCAGGAGGTGCACGTCAGTGTCACCTGGAATCTTTCAAAACAGATTGCTGGGTGCCCCCCTCCATTCCCCACTTTTTGATTTGGCAGGTTTGGGGTGGGGCCCGAGAATTTGCATTTTTAACAAGTTCCCAGGTGCTGCGGATGCTGCTGGTCCTGGGACCACGATGTGATTTCCACACCCCGCTGGGAAGCTTCAAACACTCCTGTGCCCAGTGGTCCTCCTACCAGTGGGTCCAACTGTATGAGATGGGCCCCAGGGGTGCCCGAGAACCAGGGCTTGAGAGAGACAGAGACTGAGGCAGGCAGGTGGGAGAGGAGGCTGGCCCAGCTCTAAGATGCCCACTTAGTTTAAGCTGCTCTTGTCGCATCTGCTCAGATGACCACGTGATCACACGCCACCCCAAGTAGCTGGGGTGTTTGGAGACACGAGTCTGGGTCAGTCTGTCTCTCCAGCCAGCCCCCAGAAGTCCCAAGTGAAGGCTAACGGTTCCCAGTGGTTCCGCCTCTCATGACCAGCATTTCAGAGGCTGCTCCCTGGAGGGGCCTTCGCAATTCTGGAAAATTCCTCAGAGGTCACTGTGGGAAAGAGGGCTGAGCAGGGATTGTCGTCCCCGCCCCTCATCAGACCCACTCCCTGGAACCAGAGCAAGCAGTTCCCTTCTCATCTGTTTACAGAACGGGACCTGACAAAGAGCCCTTTTTAGGAAAGATTCCATAGCTATGAGGGGAAAAAAAAAGTTGAAAACCTTGCAGTGCCTGGATTTTTTTTTGTTGTTGTTGTTTTAAGGAAAGGAATTTTTTTTACTTGGCTGGATATGTGACCTCGATTTTACCATCTTCCAAAGAGGTATGAGAGTCCCTGCCTCCTCCCCTGGGTCCAGCCGCTCCTCTCGGGGTGTAGAGGCATCATTCCTGGGGAACGTTTCCTGGAATATAGGGGCTGGACTCTGCAGATATGATTGGCTCATGGCTCTAGATGGGGAAGAACCAGAGAGTGGGGTGGGATGAAACGACCACAGGATCCAAGGGGCGTGTATGCTGAGTGTGCCATGTTCTGAAAGTGTATGTAGGTGGGTGTGAATATGGACGTGGTGTGTCTATGTGGGTAGGTGTGTAGTGGGTGTGAGACATCAAGTTGGGGGTGAAAGCAGGTGGTCCTGGGATCTTGTTCCCTCACAGGGCCTCCCTGTATTCCTTCTTGGCTTCCTGCCTTCGTTCCTTCCTCCAAGACTTTTTAACCCCTCAGCCTCCCTGACCCTGAGAGGGTCTCCTTATTCTCAGGCCAGATCCCCCTGTCCCTAGAGCACTCCTGTCCCCCAGGTCACCTTGGGTCTCCCTGATCCCCGTGGTCTTCCCTGCTCCACTCAGGGCCCCCTCGCCCCACCATCCAGGGAAACAGGGAGACCCCTCACCCCACTCTGCCCATTTCCCTGGGGTCTCCCTGTCTCCTAGAAGCCCCTGTCTACCAGCTCTCCACTCTGGATTGGTCTCCTGTCCCCTGAGGTCTCCTGTGTCCCCAGGGGGCTCTCTGTTACCTCCACCCCTCATCATCATGTCTCCCCATTTCCCTGGGGACCTCCTATCTGCCAGGCCTCCTGGATGGGTGAGTCTCCCTTTCCTTGGGGTCTGCTTGGTGGCAGCTGCCCTGGCCTGACAGCAGCCTCCCCTAGGGGCTACTTGTATGCCGGGCTGGAGTTCGGCGCCGAGTGCTACTGCGGCCACAAGATCCAGGCGACGAACGTGAGCGAGGCGGAGTGTGACATGGACTGCAAGGGCGAGCGGGGCAGCGTGTGCGGTGGCGCCAACCGCCTCTCCGTCTACCGGCTGCAGCTGGCCCAGGAGTCAGCCCGCAGGTGTACGTGAGTCGGCCCCTGCCCCTCTCTGCCCTCCAGCCACATCCCTCACCCTCACCCGTCTTCCTCCTTAACAAGCAGCTAGAACCTGAGCTGGCCTGTCCTTGCTGGTTTTCTGAAAGCAGATCGTCTCTAGTGACGATGACAATGATGATGACAGCAAACACTTCATCATCTTCTAAGAGCTGTAAATAGAAGAGCACACCTACTCCTCACAGTGACCCTGGAAATTGGCACTGTTACTCACCTACTCCCATTTTACAGATGGAGAAACTGAGGCTCGATGTCACATGAGCAGCAGAGGATTTAAGCCAACTCCAGAACTTACGTCCTTAACGCTCCTATAAAGAGAATTTATCCCTCTCTTGTCAGTGCCTCAGTCTTGTTGGGAAAACTCTCCAGTTTCCAAGCTGTTGGAGGGAAGGGGATGAACAGGAGAGGACAGGAGCCACCCCCTCTTCTGTGGGTGTTGTCCTATTGTCCCATCTCTGGATGTATAAGAACAGTTAATATCTATTTACCAAGAATCCACTGTGTGCCAGGCCCTGTGCTGAGCCCCTACAGTCTTTTCAGGCAATTGCCACTGTTAATTATCCCCAATTTACAGTGAGGAAACTGAGGCTTAATGAATTTAAGTAAGCCTGCCCAAGGTCACAGTCCTGTGACCTTAAAGATGACCTTCAAACTTACAAGAAGAGCTAATGGCTTTGATGAAACATGGAAGGCTGAGGTTTGTCCTGCTTACTCTTCTGATACAGCCCCAAGGTACGAACGGGAATCCACAGCTTCCCCTGCAA